CCAAAACCCAAACCAAACCTATTGCCATCGAGTCAATTCCGACTTATAGTGACCCTATAAGACGGAGTAGAACTGCCCCCTAGGGTCTCCAAGAAGCAGCTGGTGGATTCAAACTGCCGAGCTTTTTGTTAGCAGACAAGCTCTTAACCACTATACCACCAGGGCTCCATATTTCTGACTAAGAGGATATTAATGTGAATAGGTATAGTGAAGTTATAATAAGGTAGGCTTTGAATAATTTATAGCAGGATTTGAGGTGTGGGTAGTGTAATTGAGTATAGAAAGGATTGTTAGGAATCAAAGTGTGTAATGACAGCTGGACTATCAGTGGGAGAAAGTAAATTTGGTCACAAGTATATAGTGGTGGAACAACGAGTATATAAACTACATCTCTTAAAAATAAAGTATGGTATCAAAATCTTCATTTTTAGTAACTGAGGATGCTAAATCGGAAAGTAGAGACATTGGAAATACATGTTGAATAACTTCTCTTTTTAAAGTGTGTAGGGATGGAAATTAATTATAATTGACAGTCGCTAATCTTAAGAAAATAAGGTGACTAAGTTAACATTTTCATTTCTTAGAAACGATGTTATAAATGGAGTCTCAACATAGGCTTTTGATAACCTGCTTTAAAGTACTAGAAGTCCCATATTTTATCATGTAAGAATGACTTATTAATTATACTTATTTTCTGTACTTATCAAGTCTCTAAAACCATATGAAAAAACCTACTCTGAAATATCTGGAAATTGAATCGGTTATTAATTCCAAAACGTCAAAATGAGATAGCTTAATCATCTGAATGGGCATCTTTTTCTTCTTCTTTTTTTTTTTTTTAATGAGGGCGACAACTAATTGAACTGACCAGACCAGAGCAATTAGAATTAGATTACAAGGAAGATTATCAGTTTATTTTCAGGAATTGTAGCTTGACCTGTTAATATACTTACAGTGTCCTCTGGCTGTCACTGCTTTTGTAGTATATTTTCTGTAAACGCTAAATCTAATCAGGTGGAGCTGGTTATATAATATTGGAAATTAGCCTTTTTTACAAAATCACAATTTTAGATTATTTTGTTAAGTGTTTAATATCTGCACTGCTGCTTCTCTAATTTCTTCAAGTTTATATTTGGAGCATTTTTAAGGAGGAAAGCAATCCTAATTGCATGAGAAACATTATTCATTATAAACTCTTAACTATAGCTTTTAAGGTTGTTTTCTTTGAATTAATATGTGCAAGTGAAACATTATTTACCAGTGTTCTGTTTCATCTTGGCTTTTAAGTATAAATAGAAATGCACATGGATTCTCTTCAGTTGACAACATATTAGTAACAAAATATCTGAAGTAGAAATGTTTCAAATAAATCCCATGTATATTGCTAACTAACATCTCATTAAATGATAGGCAGACATTTTGAAAGTTATGCAAAAGAATAATTCCAATTTAAGAAAAGAAAACTTGTGTGACTCTTTAATCCTCATGCTATACTTGTAGCCTGTCTGTTTTACTGCCTCTGTGTAAAAGCATGGATCTTGAATCCAAAGAGACTGGGTTACTTTCCTACCCCTACCACATACATTCTAGCTGTGGAAACTTGGGCAGACTTGTTAAACTCCGGATGGAAGCCTTAGATTTTTCATCTGAAAAGGGCAATGATAATAGCTATTTTCTAGGTTGGCTGAGAAGCCCTGGTGGCACAGTGGATTAAGAGCTTGGCTGCTAACTAAAAGGTCAGCAGTTCGTAATCCACCAGGCACTCCTTGGAAATGAGAAGTGAGTTCTGAGGCAGTTCTACTCTGTCCTATATGGTCAGAATCCACTCGACAGCAGTGGGTTTGGTTTGGTTTTGGTTTTTAGGTTGGCTGTAAAGATTAAATGTGATCATATATATACATGTTTAGCATTAGCCCATGATGTCGTTGTTGTTGGTTGCCTTCGAGTCAATTCCGACTCATGGCGACCCCATGTGTTACAGAGTAGAACTGCTCCATAGGATTTTCTTGGCTATAATCTTAACAGAAGCAGATTACAGGGACTTTTCTTCTGTAGTACCACTGGGTGGATTCAAATCACCAACCTTTTGGTTAGTAGTCCAATATAAAATGTTTGTACCACCTAGGGACCTTTATTTAGCGCCTGGTAAGTACTACATAAAAGGTGGCTATTTTAATTACCCGGGTAGCATAGTAGTTAAGAGCTACGGCTGCCAACCAAGGGGTCAGGTCAGCAGTTGGAATCCACCAGGCTTTCCTTGGAAACCCTCTGGGGCAGTTGTACTCTGTCCTGTAGGGTCGCTATGAGTAGGAATCAACTCGAAGGCTACGGGTTTGGTTTTTATGGGTTTTTGTTCCAAACACTGAGGTATTGCTTGACATATTTGATTTCCACTCCTTACCACAATCATGCAAAAGTGGCTGATATTACACATAAGAAAAACTGAAGTTTCATCTTCAATATCATAAGAACTGGAATTTAAATCCTTTTCATTGCAGTATACCTCTCTGCCTTTTTTATTTGAACCTTCCTACAATCCAGTGAGTGCCTAGGTGGTGCAAATGTTTAACGCACTTAGGTGCTAACTAAAAGTTTGGAGGTTTGCGTCCACCCAGAGGCTCCTTGATAAAAACATCTACAGATCTACTTCTCAAAAATCAGCCATCGAAAACCCTTTGGAGCACAATTCTACTCTGACACACATGGGGTGCCCATGAGTCACAACCGACTCAATAGCAATTGGTTGCTTTTTATAATCCAGTGATGCAGCTGTTTTATCTTACATGCAGAGAACTGAGACAGAGAAACTATAATATGTACCCCATGTCTTTCATCAGCTAGATGATAGAGGCAGGACTCGGGACTAGATCACCAGACTCTTGATTTGGTCTCTTTGGAGCCCTGATGGCGCAGTGGTTAAGAGCTTGGCTGCTAACCAAAAGGTCAGCAGTTCGAATCTACCAGCAACCCTAGGGGACGGTTCTACTCCACCCTATAGGGTTGCCGTAAGTCCGAATCAATTGAAGGCAATGGGTTTGTTTATTTTTTGGTAAAAGAAAACTATCTAAATTTCAAGACCTCTGAAGAGAAGAATGACATGATATAAGCCATGTTTTATTTGATGGCTACTCTGATTTGTAATCTTGTTAAAAAATTAAGGCAACAGTTTAGAAAATATGGAGTTGAAGGGGAGAATATGTCCAAATTAGTTTACTTTTAGAAAAAAAAAAATGATTCAGTAACAGTAGCTGGAACACAAAATGTTTTATTGAATTTATTTTTTGATGTGATATTTTATTATTTGCTTATTAGTCAATTCAAATTAACTTCAACAGTATTATCGATTGATAATTTTGAGCAGTAATCAGATATTTCTACACGCTGTGTTACATAATCTACATGTAAGAGTTAGATATTGGATTTGGCTGCTTAGGACTGTCCAATAGCAGAAATATGTCTTTGATTCAACATATTTTAGTGATCAGGATAATCTATAAAGACTAACTTATTCAAACACCATATTTTTTAACTGCAACATTTAAAGTATATAGTTTGCAACTAATAAAAAGAAGATATACTTAAAGCCCCAAACTTGAATGTTCATTGTATCCAGTACCCTTGAGTGCAAACAGCTCCAGGATTTCAGGATCTGCACTTTTCAATCAACATCATCAGCATGCAGTAATCCTGGGGAAAAAAAGTAAATTCCACAAATAAACAGACCAATTTTCCTTTAAGAGGAAAGCTAATTCTTTTCAATCTACTTTTTTTTATTACACTATTTTCCCCTCTATCTACTAAGCTCGTGTAAGGATAAATTTCCAAAGCTACGCAATTGGAAAATAAATAAATTCACTGTTTGTCTAGCATTCCAATCTTTGCAAATGTAAATCAGTCTAACCGCTCCTCATTTAAACCTTCAAGTTCACAAAACATTAAAGGGTGGATTTCACCACACGCTTTGATCTATCCACTAAGATTTCTGCTTGAACATTATTCAAAATTGACTATCTGATAAAGGGAGACCACTATCAAAGTTCGGTGAGGTCAACCTGAATAATTACAAGTAGTTTTACTGGGTCAACTCTACCAAACACTAAAGGTTAAATTGTTACAATTAATTAAATATATATACAGATCTCCCCAGAGTTACTTTATTGTTAAATGTACCAGAAGTAGCACAAGCATTTATTTCTGACTTTGGGTCCAAAGTGTCACCATTAGGAAATAATACAAAAAAAGAGCACTTAGTAAAAACATTATAATCGTGCACATTAAATAATCCTTTATAAAATAAAATGCATAAATTAGCTACTGGAAACAAATTTTATTGATCACATCCGTATTAAGAAGCTCATTCAGGTTACTCCCTTAGGTTTAATTGGAAGTGCCGTAAGAAATGACATCAACTCTTTCATAGTTGGTGAACTTGCCACAAACAAAGAAATATGGCCCAGCAGCACTGTCTGATGCTAAAGCAAGCTTCGCTTTAGAATGCTCACTTCCAAATTGCTAGAATTTCATCACATTTTAATAACTGACTGAGAAAGCTTTAAATGGGAAGCTTCAAAATGGGCTGTTTTCTATTTTTTTGACTCATTTTAATGTCTTTTACTTTTTTATTAAGTGAATAAATGGGCAATGATGAAATCTTCCAGAATCACTGCACTCTTTCCACTCAGCATTCTTTCTTTCGTTTTAATGAATGTATATATAAATCAGTTCTTTTTTCTCTCCAGTGTGGCAACAAAAATCACCTCTAGAGCCCAAAGTGTTTGCCTTGATGTTCTTAAGATTTTTTTATATGTAAAAGTGGGATTTAAAATGTTGTGTATACTGTTTCATTGAATGAACTAAATGGTTTAATTTTGATAATGAAAGCAACTTCTAAACAAGCTTGCAGATTCATGTAAAATTATTATTAGAAAAATAAATCTTCAAATATATAGATCTGGTTGAAACGATCTTAACACTTTTTTTTTTTTTTTTAATATTTTCAGATTTTGTGTTGGAGACAAATTTTTCCTAAAGAATAACATGATCCTTTGCCAGACAGACTACGAGGAAGGTTTAATGAAAGAAGGCTATGCACCCCAGGTTCGCTGATCTATCAACATCACCCCATTAAGAATACAAGGCACTACATTCTTTTATCTTGTTTGCTCCACATGTATATAAGAATTGACACAGGAACCTACTGAATAGCTTAGACATAGGAAAGCAGGATGGTGATATGGAATAAAAGGCGGACTGCATCTGTATGTAGTGAAATTGCCCCAGTTCAGAGTTGAATGTTTATTATTAAAGAAAAAAGTAATGTACATATTGCTGGATTTTTTTGCTTGCTATTCGTTTTTGTGTCACTTGGCATGAGATGTTTATTTTGGACTATTGTATATAAGGTATTGTAATATTTGAAGCACAAATGTAATACAGTTTTATTGTGTTACAATTTGTGTTCTGTTTGCTTCTTTGTATTGTTGCATTTAGTACAATCAGTGTTTAAACTTACTGTATATTTATGCTTTCTGTATCTACCAGCTATTTTAAATGAGCTGTAACTTTCTAGTAAAGAATTGAAGAGCAAATCTCACTAATGATGCGCACATAGATAAAGCAAGTCTATCAGCGTTAAAAATACTGAAAAATAAAGACACACACACACAAAGCATTTTCGCAACATCTACAATTTATTGCCACTACAATATAAAGTCTATCACTATTCTCATTATACCCCCTATTTTCAGGGGGTTAAAGATCAGCTTTAAAAAAAAATGCGTAAAAATTCATCTTAAAGCACTTTCATTTTATACCAACATGAAAAGTGCCATTTTTAGCATAACTTTAATGCTTAACAGTTATCCTTTAAATCTACTTTTTCTCGTGTGCTCTTTAACTATACAATGGCTTTGTTTTTGTTTTACAGCCAGTCACCCTTTATGTGAACTAGTGCCTTTGGGTATTTTGTGAAATTTTTCCAAAGGGTTGCTTTAAAGAAGTGTTACTACAATTTTGAAATAACTGAAAAATGATAAAAGTTCTTATACAACTTTTGCCCAGGTCTCTCCCCAGGGGCTAGGGGTTTAGTAACTTTATGGCTTAATAAATTTATGACACTAAAAAAGATTTAAGTGTGAATCTACTGAACCCATGTTAATGGACATGGAAGCTATGATCATATTTGAGCAGTAAGATTATGTTTGGTCAGAGCAACATAATGTCCATGGAATCTTCTAGAAGAAGAGAAACAATGGGACTGAAAAAAAGCTGAAAACTAGTGATTATATATTTTTCTGTATTTTCCTGCCATTCATTGTAATGTTCAAAAAGTGAACACTTTAAAAGTTTGACGTGTCTTACTCTCTCATTGCTTTAAGTACGTAATTACCCACTCAGAATACATCTCACTTAGGCTGAAATCTGTCATTTTATTTTTTAAAGGTGAACTATTATTCCCTTACCTACATGATAGCTGATAAAGAAGAAAGCTTTCTAGAATCAGAAATTATGGAGAAAGATTATTTAAATTACAATTAAGAAAATAAAAATGAAAATATAATTTCTCTTCTTGGTTGCTCACGCTTTGCTCCTTTGCTTCTGCTTCCTGAAATCAGTTACTTTTCAACAAATCTAACTCCACACAGGCACAGTGAAGCATGTTTTCAAGTGCTGTGGGTTTTGTTTTTTTCTTCTTGGTCACTTGTATAGGAAACAGTATTTCCCAGTGTTATTTGCATACATATTTTGTCCTGCCAATATATACATTACAGATAAAGATTAATTGTTATACCTGAATTCTTGGTTTGGGGCCAAAATATTAAGTGGAAAATAATGCTGGTGTAGATTTGAGTTGTTTTAAAACAAATCTTTATCATGAACATGCATGTGAATCTGGATATTGCCTCTCATTCTTCAGAACATGAGTCTGTGAAAAGTGAATGATGATATGTATTTTTACAAATGCTTCATTGTTAAGAGTGTTCAAGTCACATGTCCCACAAATTTGAAGGATACTGAAGAAATAATTTCAAAAACAACTATTGTTTTAGCCTTAGACTCTTATATTTGTTTCATGAAAAGATTTGCATAGCAAAACAAAACAAAACAAAAAAAGGAGGGGATAAGGAAGAAGTGGCTTCCATAATGCTGCTGCCCTACTAATCCCCATTGAGAGTTGTTCGAAATTCTTGTGGATGTAAAGTTTTAACCATCAGTATCTTTTTCAAATGAGTTTTTAGACTTAAACTGTTTTGCATATGTTTATCAATATGTCAAAATACTTGTGAATTTGGAACACAATTCTTTCGGCTTCTTGAGGCTGTTGAACTATCCTTGCCACCCAAAGGGTAAACAAGGTTTTTGCCGCTTTTCCTTTTTCTGAATCCTTTAGAAATTAATTCTTATGCTTTTTATACAAACAAAATTACTCACCTGGATTAAAGATTAAAGCCTTAATCTTCTTAGATTATCTTTAATCTCCATGAAAGTGTGCAAAAAGACAGAAATCATTTTTCAGCTGTAGGCCATTTTACAGCCAATTGCCCATAAATAGTAGCATTTCTGACCTGAAGTACTAAGCTAATTGTCTTGACTACTCAAAGTCCCTGAATTGTTGTCAACTTTTCTCTTTGTGTTGTGTAGCCCTGAAGTCATTTAGCTTGTTATCTGATGCCTCCAGTAGGACACCTCCAATGGAGCTTTGATTTCTTGAGAATCGAAAGCTCCATTCCTAACATACATCACATATAGACTGCCTATGATGATGGACCTGGATCCTGCACTCCACCAGGGTGCTGGCTGAGTTTAAAAGCTGACCTGTGTTTGTAATTTCACTTTCATCCTGCTTAATAAATATCTGCTGGATTCTTTCATTCATTTTTTATATTTGGATTTATGTTGTTAATAAAAGGGGTATTACACTGTTTCATTGCACTTAATTGACAAAATACAAGATGATATCTAGAAAGCATACATTAAGTTCATGAAAAAGGATAAAACGTGTATAATAACATTTACTTTCTAAATGTAAATCATAACAAGCATAGACTAAGTACTTCGAATGCTTTCTCCAAATGTTATATTTAGGATTTCTGAACTCCAGGTAGTTTACTGCTATTTGCTTTTGTGAGGGGGAAAAAATGTCAAAAGTGAAGGTAGCAATTGCTGGGTGTAATTTGATACATTTATGTAAATTTTAAGTGATCTTTCTGAAAGCGACTGTGTTGCGGTTGTCAGACAAAATTTCACATTTCCTATTTCCTGTTTAATGAATTAAAACAAAAAAATTCAACTAAATTGTACATTTTCAAGGAAGAGATGTGTGCCTTAACTGTAACAGCGTGCTGAAAATTATAAGTAAAACACACCCTATGCAAGTGGTTTCCTTTTAACTATCACTTTAGGCAAACCACTCTCGGAATAGTCACTTAACCAATTTCACAGAAATGATATAGGCCAAACATGTTTAGGATTCAGTAAGTTGCAAAAACAATCTGCATATTTATTGTAGTGGGCCATTAACACAGAATACAATCTTAGCCAAACCTTTTCCGATTATTACTTTTTCTTAAAAACACCATTATAAATATTTTAAAAGCATGATTTAATGCAATTTAATGTAATAGAAAGTAAAGGTTTAACATAGCTATTATTTCAGTTGATGTTCATTGAGTACCTACTATGTGACAAGCCTTGCCCCGAGTACTCAGCTTCCTTTTGGCAAATGTTGAAGTGTCTGTTCATTGCTTTGCCCTAATCTCAAACCTGCTAATAATGAGCACACAAAAGCGAACACCATCTTCTACCTATTCAGCATGTCATTGGTATGAATGCTCCAGAAAATATCTCAAGGAATCAATGTGTTCAGAGAATTATCTCACACAAATTACTCATTAACTCAATAGCACATAATAAAAAAGAACATCAGTTAATTAATGAGTCACCCTCAGATCACTATGATTACAATAGAGCTGTTGAAACAGCAGTTACAAATGGAGCTGACTCTCTTTCTTCATTGTTTGCAGTTGGCCCGTTATTTCGCTGAAACCAGTGTCATATTTAATACATGCCTGTAGGTAATTGTGTGATTTGTATCATAAATGGAGAATTCAGAAAGCTTACTGCATATATCACTTTACAAATGGTCAGAAAAATAAATTTAATAAAAACTCATTTTTACTATAACTTTCTTTGAAGTCAAGTTATCAGAAGGGTATTAGCTTGCTAAAAGGTGTAGTTTTACGTTTATACTCAAGGTTTAAGACTTCTATGCTGAACACTGAGCCCTGGTGGTGCAGTGGTTAAGAGCTTCAGCTGCTAACCAAAAGGTCAGCAGTTTGAATCCACCAACCAGGACAGTTCTACTCTGTCCTATAGGGTCGTTATGAGTCAGAATAGACTCGACAGCCATAGGTAAGTTATGTTGAACACTATAAGAATTAGCTCTTCAGACACTTAAAAGTGAATTTGAAATTCTTTAGCATACACAAGATTTAATTTCAGTAGCTTTTCATAAAGACAAAAATATGCTTCATTATTGCTAGTTTTGCAAACATACCCCAAAAGGGTATTTTTGCTTTTGGTGGGCAGCACTGAGGAGGGTGCATGGGGATTGACAGCAGTAGGGGAAGAGAGAGAAAGAAATACCAAATGTTACATACAAAGTCACCAACTGAAGTTTCCCAACTATCTTGGTAAATGCCATTCCAATAAGCTTATAGAATAATTATAACAGCTCCCTTAGGTAAGTAAGAAACATCTGTTGGTAACGCACAGCAGGTGTTAGCAATTACACATACTGAAATTTTTTTAAATTTTTTAATTAAAGGAATTCTGTTTTCTGAGAAGGAAAGTATGTTAAATTCAGAGATACTCCTGTTTTGGGTGTGCATATCACATAATGCACAAAATTGTAAAGCCAAAATCATCTTGGATCAACTAGGTTTTGTGTTTGGTTCAGATCATTCAATGAAAAGTGAATTGGAATTCATTGTACTTTTTACACAATTAGTATTCTGGGCTGAGGAGCTGAATACTAATGAAATTGGTATAGCAGAGCTGATCACAGAATATTTTGGCTTTATGGGCAAGGTGGTTGCAGTTAACTGTACCAAATTTAATGGACACAGTACAAAGAAATAACAGGAGCAAGGGGCATTCAGATAATAGATTATCCAAATCTTTTTTACCCTACTCCTGGAGAAAAGACTAAATTATGGAAAACAAAAACAGCCTGTTTGTAACATGTAACATTATCATATGACTCATCATCAATTATTTTTAATAATAGCTAACATTTAATGAGCATTTACCATGGATCAGGCAGTTTTCCATGCCCATGTAATCTCCAGAACACCTCTGTGACGTAGTACTACTATTGTCTCTAATTACAGATTCTGAGTAAAAGCAGAAAAAAAAATCTAATTTTCCCAAGGTCGTACAACTAATAAGTAGTGGACCTTAGATTTAAACACAGTTTGTTGGGCTCTATGGCCATCATGCTTAACCACTGTGCTATATTATCTCTGATAGGGTTGTCAGGAGCGGATTAACCAGTAATCAAGGTACACATGGGTTTACATTAAGCAAGGTGCACATGTGTGGGCCTTGCTTATTAGGTAATCCATCCCTGACTGGGTTGTCATGGTTTATGATGATGATGATGATATAATAGTCCCCAAGAATAGCCAAGAACTAGGAGTTATCTAAAAAGCCCTGGTGGCTCAATGATTAAGCACTTGACTGCTAAACGAACGGTTGGTGGTTGGAACCCACCAGGTGCTCTGGGAGAAGAGACCTCGTGATCTGTTCTTATAAGAAACCCTATGGGGCAGTTCTACTCTGACACATTAGGTCACTATGAGTCACAATAGGCTCAATAGCACACAACAATGAGGAGCTATCTGTGCTCAAGCAAACATTCCAAATATTTCAGAGTTAATGTCATCTATTAAGATGACAATTGGGAATGAGATAGATGTATTTCCCTACATGCAATTTGCTTAGGTGCTCTTTCTTTCAAGCGCGCTATGAAGGCATTTATTTGAACTTGCAAATCCAGGGTACCAAGAAGAGAGGATCCCTGGACACAGGGAGGTCAGCATAGAAGAGAATAACTCGGAGTCGAGTGCTGTAATCAGGATGACATGCTGCAGTGACGCTACACCAGTCTCAAAAGTCAAGATGATAAAATTAGTATGTTACTTGTCTTTGATGTGTTATAACTTGCTTTCACAAGATGAGATGAAAACAAAATTTGTGTCAAGCTATGTGTTCACTGGTCTAAAATACACTAGCTGTAGAGGATGCTGGATCCAGGTTAGCTGTCAGATATCTAAGTAACTCTTTAGAAAGAGCTCAGTGCTTACAAGGGCAAGCCAGCCTGAAACAATGGGGATATAGCAGCCGACCCTGACATTGCTGTTGCTGTTATTGTTAGGTGCTGTGGTGTCAATTTCGACTCATAGTGATCCTGTGTGGCAGAGTAGAACGCCCCATAGGGTTTTCTAGGCTGTAATCTTTACAGGAGATCACTAGGCCTTTCTCCCACAGAGCTGCTGGGTGGGTTCTAATTGCCAACCTTTCAGTTAGCAGCTGAGTACTTAACCATTGCGCCACCAGAGCTCCTTATCCTTAACATAGACCAGAGCAAAATGCAGTTCTTTACAACCTCGTATTACCAGAGAAAGAGATCCAAAACCTTCCTCATCCTAATGCTTTGATTGCCTGCTACCATCATCACCACCACTTCCATATATTGGAGTATGTTTGAATTTACACGACTACAGATTGGGCATCCTAACGGAAGGCTCCACTACACAAGAGTTTTCCTCTATTTTCAGTACAAAACCAGTGCTTAAACTGAAGAGCTCAGAGCTGTGATGATCATGGAGGAACACGGTCAAATTGAGTTTCAGAAAAATGTTTGTTCCTCATCCTAGATGGCACAATGCAAGCCCAAGGTAATTTTAGTCATGTGAGAACCAAAACCAGTTGCCGGGAATCAGTTCCAAGTTATGGCAACCCCATGAGTGTCAGAGTAGAACTATGCTCCATTGGGTTTTCAATGGTTGATTTTTCAGAAATAGATTGCCAGGCCTTTCTTCTAAGGCACCTCTGGGTGAACCTGAACTGCTAAACTTTAGGCTAGCAACCGAGCCTGTTAACCATTTGCAACCACCCGTGGACTCCAGCATAAGTTAAATACAGCATGACATCCTAAAATATCCTTAAGAATATCCAGTTTTGTACAGCCAAAGTTTGGTGGAGATGCTGGGTTGTCTAAAAGCTAACCTTGACCTATAATCCCTGTTTTCTATTTAAAGTGTCCTCAGTTTGGTATGCATAGTAGCTGGAGCTAGGAGAAGCCACAGAGACCACACAGAAGAAAATATGGGATAAAAATAAGTAGTTCCCCTTTTGGAGAGAGTAGGTAACTTTATGAAAAACATCATTGAGTATCTACCATGTGAATAACACCATACTATGCATTTCTAAATTTGTTTATGCCTGAGAGACTTCAGTGCATGAAAAATAATGTTCATTGCTACTTATTCTTTGTTTAATGCCCAATTTATTAAACATATGACTCTAATAAATGCAATTTCTCTAAAATACATTGGTACACCATTTAAACAGCTAATAAAGCAAAACTTGTAAACTTAACAAATCAGATTCAACTATTTATACATCAATAAGAATCATTACCAAATTCTTTTAAACATTTCAATAAAATTCTAAGTAATAAGCTTCAAGTACTATATACAGAAATCGTCCCAATGTGTGAAAACTTATTTTTAAAAAATATACTTAAAACGGTAACAAAAATTCACATGAATTTAAGTTAATGTTTCTATATTTTGTTTCATATCTTTATAAAGTTACAGTAGTAACTAATTCCTTTCAAGGTTAGAGAATATTGTC